GTTGGGTAAACAAACAAGCAGATGGTCCACCTAACGGAGAGCTAAAAATAAATAGCGATCGTCGCCCACAGACTTCTACAACATAAGAAGAGTTGTTTGTGCGTTGCCAATTAAAGGTTTGTAGAGACACATTTTTTTAAATGCTCCATATTATTTTCTGAAGAGAAAACTGAGGAATGGAGCTCGTTCCACAACCTAGATGTACGAGATAAAAATGAACGGGATGCACGGACATTGGTAGTGTGCCCAAGAAATATGGGTGAACTCGAGCTCTGTGGCGAGAGATACGATAATAAAATGGTGATGAAGGCATCGTGTTATATAGGTATGTGTGTTAGTTGTCTAGTCAATCAATGTAGATCTTTATCTCTTCAGCAAGGAGAAGAGTTGGTAGGGTCTTGAGGCGAACCACTTTAGCCCAGCTACTACCTCCAGGTCGCTGGATCGATGCCGAATCATGTCAGCGTGGTCTTCATTTTTCTGTATAGACAATATAAAAAACGTACCTACGTACCCAATCCAAATAAAATAAGAAATACGAGTTTTCTCCGAAACCGGCGTGTATATAAATAAGACATGTCGGTTCTTACGTATCTAAGGCACTGAAATCTTGAATCTTAATAAAAATTAATAAAACTGTTAAAATATAATAAATGTTTTGAAACTGTAAAAGTATACTGAAGTCCAAATGTCCCGAGCAATTCGTAACATCTGGCAATACTACTACATACGTAAGTGTTCAGTGACGCGTAGGATTGTTGAAAAATAGCACCATAAAGCTGTCTTTGTAATAAATTGGCGACACTCTAGTCCGACGACAACTCCTAGTTTAGGGCCTGTAAAACCTCCCGAGTACTTCTCGAAACATTCATTTTATTTTCGTTTTACTTACATAAGTATTAAGTGTAAATAGTTTTCTTACAGTGAGCACCGTGGTTTATTACAGAAGAAGTGACAATGTTGTAATTGAATTAGCTGAATGTCAGTTTATTTTAAAGCGTATTTGCATTTTTAAATTTGGAAACAAAACCGCAGCTCAGGACAGTTCCTCATACCAGTCTATAGGAGAGACTTACGTTCAACAGTGGATAGATAATGGCTGAGATGATGATGATGATGATGAGACAAAAACCATCTAATGTAAAGTGGTAACCGGCAACTGTAGACATTATGATACCCTGGAGACTAATATATTATAAATGGTGTTGCAAATGTCCATAGGCTACAATGACCGTTTACCATAAGACCGGGCTATATGCTTGTTTGCCACCTTTATGGTATAAAAGAAATATCCCTATCTTGTAATTTTATATCCATATCCCACCCTTTAAACTGAAACAACCATACAAGCACAGCTGTTTCACGTCAAAAACACGTATTCAAGGCAGAACCAGATGGGCCGTGCCCACTTGAGAGTTGTCAGGTACTCACCCGATGGTGCAAGCGAAACTTTACAAAATCAATTTTTTCTATAACACAGGGGCAAACGAGCATGCGGCTCACTTGATGGTAACTAACTTCTACCGCCCATGATTACCCACAACACCAAAAGCATTGCAGGTGCTGCCGGCCTTTTAAAAAGAAATATGTTCTCTTCTTGAAGGTTATGATGTCGTATCGGTTCGGAAATACTGCTGCTGGAAGTTGATTCCAAAGAGTCGTTGTGCGTGGAAGAAAGTGCCTTAAAAAACGCACGGTGGAAGACCGCCACTCGTCCACATGGTTGGAATGAAACTTTATGTCGGATTAGGTGGTGAAAATCAGCAGCAGGTATTAATCTGAACAATTTCTTAGAGAATGCACCATTTTATAAATAGTCAGGCCTCCCCTGGAAAATAGTCTTAAATACTACATTGCATAAAATTGTACATCTACTTTAATACCCTCCCAAACGCCGTTAACCAATTGACATGACTGCGGTGCATTTGCGCTGGGCACGCTCTTGCCACATTGAATCCGAATTTACTCGGAGAAATGTTGTTAAATCGTGTGTTCACGTTCACTACAACGAGAATAGACGGCTCGCAAAATGCATCTGATTACCTTTCTACTACTACTAGCTGCAACTACTTTGACTAGCATTTACCCGTGGCTTCATTTACATAAATGATTATATAATAATTTACAAAATATGTACTTTGAATATGTTTTTTGAAACTCTCATGCTTTTCTCTATAGGTTCAAGAAATCCTCATACCATCATCGACCTTTTAATAGAAATACCACAGTATAAAACTAAGCTTAAATTTTTTTTAATCTACTTCAAAAGATTCGCCCTTTTTTCTAATTATATAGAATACCTTCACCAATTTGAGCCCATGTTGATAATTTATTTGCGAAAAGTAATGTCATTTATAATGTAATCTTAAATCATAATAAAAAAGAACGTAATAAAAGGCGAAAAAGGGAAATAAATAATAATAATAAAGGGAATTAAAACCTGCCATAGCACATATTGAACACCAGTGCCACTTCCTATATCTCCCTTAAAAATATATATATAAAGCAGGATTTGGACTAAATGATTGATTACAGGGCTATCCTGCCATACATATGATATTGAATTGAGCATCTGTTTCTATATCCTTGCAACCAATCGCAAGCGATCACAATAGGATATATATACATGGTACTTTCAAAATAATTAGCATTCTTTTAAAGGAATATTCCACTAGTAATATTGAACATTTTCGTACTGAAATGAAGAGGATCTATATACATATAAATGATTAAATTATATTTCTTTAAAATATTACTATAGATCATAATCTACAACTCACACAACATAATATTTATAGAACCCTAATGGGGCAACGAAATCGAAGACACAATTTAGATTATTGCTTTTGTGTTCAACGCAATGACAGACTTACAGGATTTATTTGATAATCTGCTTTTATTATGCCAGTTAAGGAATACACCTAATCTGCTTGATTAAACATTAATTACGAATTATTTAAACATTTATTTCTCCGGCGCCAAATAATTTGCTAACGCAACATGATTATAATTTATGGGTTTCTCGCAAAGATGACCTTGCCCTTGTCCCTTTATTTCGGGTCGACGCAGTATATTTTCCTTCCGGGGCTTTTTGAAAGGTAACATAAAATAACAAGGTGTAACAGCATAAGGGTATAATAATCCAATACGTATATTTATGACCTAAATTATTTATGTAACTAAATATCTTGTTTAAATAACATTTTTAACCTTCAAACTAAACGCGCTATCATTTTGTTAACGACTTCTCTTTACAGACGACTTTATTCACATGACTGGGACTGCCATTCTTCGCTCTACATATGTACCAAATTAATATATACATATATTATTAAACGATATAAGTCGTTTAAGCTCCAAAAGGTAACAAAATTGTGTTCCATAAAAAAAAATATATAAAATAAGAATGAAACCGTCAAGGGAGTAAACTACTTCGATTACAAAAAAAATAATGGGACTTTTTCTGTTTTGGTTAAAGGTGGTTTGATTTTGTGAAAAAAAAATTTGTTACTTCAAAAAATACAAAGGGTCTTTTTACTTAAATTCATGCAAATAGAGACCCTGAATATAACTAGTATATCACACTTACTACATATATACCGGGGGGAAAGGGATTGTTACTAAAGTGGTTTAACTGCATCATTGCTAATAATATACCCTATCAGGTCGACCTCCACACGGTTCCCCCTGGAAACCGTCATGATTAATTATTTTGGAATACATCACGATGGGCTAACTGATCTATATTCATTCTCACCTACCATTTCTCACTCGTGCCCCATCAGCGTATACCGATAGCGGAAGCGGGGTTTCCATTTCATTTTCATCTATTAAAAAACTACATATTTAACATATATGCCTATATAAACAAGAACTCCGATACGAAATAAAAAAAAAATACTCTTTCTAATTGAGCCATTTTAAACTTCAAAGACGGAAAACCAATACAAGGACAGACTACTAAATGAACATGCCCGCAAAGCCGAATAAAAATTCGTTAACAGAATTTTATTCCAAAAATGAAACACGAATTCACGTCTGCGTACAGGCACAATAGATGCGCATAAATACCTTTCATTCAAATCACCCTGTACAACAACGGTTGGCAGAATTCAATTTTGAAATACGTTCACAAAGCGCGTTCGGAAACATTGTTTGCAAGACCTATTTCCATTTACACTCCTCCGAAAAAGTGACACGCGTTCGGATTTTATGCAAATTTCGTGATCATAAACAAAAGCTTTAACAAGCGCAGTGTGTGATACAAAATGCACACAAAGCAAAACTTTTTTCAAATATTTTTCCGACTAAACGTCATGGAAAGTGAAATCACTTTTAAACAACAAAATGCTAACAGTGTTATAATTTCATTTCATATCTTTATACTTGTATATATCTTTATCTTTATACTAAATCTATGGCCTGGATAATTAATAATGTAAGAAGAATAACATTAAAAGATTGTGTTTCCCTGAGCGTTACACTCAAAGGGCAAGCCTGGGGGTTGAGCTTCCCTTTTGAGCCTTAATAAGAGTCATGCTCTAAGGGGTGCTTTGCCTAATTCCGTTTACTTTGATAAGCGGTGCTTGGGCTCCCGAGGGCACCGACCAAGAACATGTCCTTTTCTCTGATCCTCGATGTGGACAATCCTTACATCGTTCACATTAAAATATGATAACAATTAAGATTACATATAATCTTAAAGTATGTTTTTAAACAAATTTTTAATTCAAATTATTTAAATATACTCGTAGTACACAAATGAATAGTCCATTTACGTATTCCTATCCAAAATTAACATACAAATATTTTAATTGTAATTCACGTATTCAAAATTGCAGATAACAACTAATGATTAATAAAGGTATAAAAAAGATACAAATATACTTAGTACAAATGTTTATTTAAATAATTATAATATTAGAATTACACAGCTATACAACTAATCTTAAGAATATTAATTATATTAATTAATTATATATAATATAATTAATTAATATAATATAATTAATTATATTATATAATATAATTAATTATATTCTTAGGATATAGATATATAGATTATAGCAACATCAGTAAGTACTAACCTTAAAAGTGTTAAATAAATATTTTACATTATAATAAACATACCACCTGTAAACAGTACAATGCTTTACTTAATTTATTATTATTCTTAATTATGAAATGTCTTTGAGTTCATTATAAAGTAATTAAATCAATAATTAAAAACTGCCACTGGTGACTAGATTAATCAAATCTAGCCTGAGGATCGATAAATCTAATAAAATGGAATACTAATTAAGTAATAAAATCACTTAATAAGCAATAAATATCTATAACGATATGAACAACGTACGAATACAAGGTTTCTGAAAAAAACCTAATTATTGATATGATTATTCTTTCTGAACCATAATATTTACATGATCAATGGCATAGCACTAATAATACCTTAGCAGTCTATCTAAAACTTTATTATACTAAGCATCCTACCGATAAATTTTATCATCGTGTGGGGGCAAGCTAATAAAATAAGGCGCTGGCGGTGGTGGTGGCGCTAAATATCGTACCGATCCCGGTCCTGGTTGCACCTTGTGAGGCAGAGTGGCATTAGACAGTGATGCAGGAGGCAAGGTTGCTGCATATCCAGGCCATGGTGGACCCCACATTGGAGTAGCACCAGTGGTTGGGCTACTAGCTAAAGGACCACCTCTGTATGATGTTGTTGTCATTCTCAATCTAACAACGCATATGGCTACAATTAAGATAGCTATAAATGCAACTACACCACCTACTATACCTATTATTAGATTATCATCGTTATTCGTTGTTGCCACACCAACTACTGGAGCACCTTTTGGTTCCCCAGTGACCTTTGGTCGTTCATGAGATGGTGCAACAGACCAGATAATATCAGGTTCTGCTGAAGTACGATGTACTAAACGAGGTGGTACTGTTGTTGATATGCTAGAAGAAGAAGACAAAGCTGTTGTTCTTCGTTTTGTGTCACAAGATAACTCGTCATCTCCAATTTCTACTAGTAAAAATCCAGATAAATGTTCTGGTGACTCACAACGAACATCGTCTATACCAACGTTTGGTAGCCACCTACGCAATGCTCGAGCATTACAGTCACACCGAATAGGATTCGTTTCGAGACCAAACATTGATAGGTCTGCACGACGATCATCAAGAGCTACCAATAATTGTGGTTGTAGTGTTGACAACTGACTACCAGCAATATCTATTATAATTTGAGACGATCTTGGTAAAGGAAACAATAAAGCCGGTGGTAAACTTGTTACAGATGTATTACGAAATCGTACTGTTATAGCTGGTGCTTTCAAACCGGCTAAAACTCCTGATGAGACTGTTTTTAATCGAGATCCTCTAACTCCTAACTCTTCAAGGCGTGGGTGTAAAGTAGAATGTAATTGATCAGCACCGATAGCTGTATCCTTTACTTCGACGTCTAATTTTTCTAAAGCTAATAAATATTGAAGAGTTCCTTGGACATCGAAGTAACCAAGTCTTGGATACCCATATGCTCTAAGTTCAATGAGATTTGATAAACTTCTAAAAGAATTTTTCTCTATCCTAGTACATTTATCCAAATCTTTTATATCCAAAACTCGAAGCGACGAAAGTCCATCAAAATTGCCTTCCGTAATCATAGTTATAGGATTACTGGAAATATTTAAACTTTGAAGATTTTTAAGTTTAGGCCAGGAATTTGCTAACGACCTAGATACATCCGATATTTGATTATTAGACAGATCTATTGATTCCAATAATGTAGTTCTGGCAAAAGTTTTATCCGAAAGCGATGTGATATTATTGAAAGACAAATTCAAACTATATAAAAATGGAGTTTCTAATTGACCCACTATATTCATTCCAGTTCCTGCAAGATTTAGTTCTCTAACAGTTTTTGGTTCGGTCAAAATATGATTCAAGGTTTTTTCTGAAAGCGGATTGAAAGATAAATCTAACTTTTTTATATTCACCATAACACTATATTCTGCTGGTATATCAACAATTTCATTATTGGATAAATCTACGGAGGAAACGAAAAAGTATTGTTTTTGTAAGGCTTTTAATGGAGGATGCTCAAATATATTATTACTCAATATAATCTTCTCTAACATATGTAACTTGTTACGGTCAAAAATATTTTCAGGTAATTCTGTAAGTAAATTTCCACCCAAATTTAAAAGCTCTAATCTAATTAGTCCCTCAAAGAGCCTATCACCCAAGCGATCTATTTTATTGTTGGATAAATCTAAATATTGGATTTGGGTTGAATTGTGGAACGCCATTTCACTTATCGTTTCCAGTTCATTTCTAGCCAATAATAAAGTTCTTAATTTCGGAAGTCGAGCAAAATCGAGTTCGTCAACATTTTTCAAAGCATTACCTGATAAATCTACTAGCTCCAGATATTGTAATGTACTTATTAATTCTGATGGAAAGAAGTTAAATTTATTATTAGTTAATATAATTTCCCTTAAACGTGGATGTATTTTAAATGAAGAGGGAAACAAATAACTTAACTGATTATCTGACAAGTCCATTACTTCCAAACTAGTGCCAGTATTAAAGAACTCGCCCTTGAAGGCATTAAGTTGATTTCCTTTTAAAGACAAATATTGTATAGACATTACATTAACAAAAGCTGGAGTTCTAATATTAACAATGTTATTATATGAGAGATCCAAAACAGTTAAATTTTTAAGATTCTTAAAGGTATGTTCCGTGATCTCCTGTAAATTATTATGCGATAAATAAATATGCTCCAAATTGGGAGTTTTTGAAAATAAATTCACTGGGAGAGCCTTTAATCCTATATAACTCATATCTATAGTCATTAAAACTTGATTATTTTCAAATACATTTTGATGAAGAGTACTGATATGATCATTATGACTCATATTCAAATGCAATAAACTTGGAATAGATCGAAAAGCGTTAATAGGTATTTCTGAAATTTGGTTATCTGATATGTCCAAATACCAAAGGCTTAAGAACTTCAATTGTTGTCCAGTGAATCCTAATATCCTATTTTGGCTTAGAGATAAATATTGAAGCGTTGACTCCAGACCAGAAAAAACTTCAGCTGCTATTGAGTTTAATAAATTTCCTGACAAATCTAAATGATGTAATGCTTTGAAGTGATCAAAAGCTGCGGGTGGAAGCTCCCTAATTACATTTCGAGATAATACTAATGAAGTAACTCTATCCGACACCGCTCTCAAAATATCACTTGACAAAGCTGTCACTCTATTATATCCTAAATGTACAGAGACCAAATTAGGTAATCGAGAAAGAGCAGTGGCTGGTATCAAAAGTATATTGTTATCACGTAGAAGCAAAGTTCGAAGACTAGTCAAGCCATCAAATGCATCATCCTCCACCTGAAAAAGAAAACATTTCACTCGGGAATACTGTTTCATATATAATAATTATCTCAGGACTTAAATTAACATCTATGGAATTTATATTAAAAAAAACTAACAATCTACTAACTATAATCGGAAGCTCACTCATAGTATTACAGTAATCCACTAAATATAATATATAATATAATTATATATTAAACCCGGGAAAGACGTTGTACAAATGTCGTCAGCTTGGGTATTTCTGTCCCATTCATAATTCTGTCGTAAAACAGTTGTGTTTGCATGGCAATGTAACAGGATACAGAAGTATAGTTAATTTTCAGGAATGGGAACGCATGAAGAGTATCATGAGCAAAATAATATACTCTGTTCTATCCATGATACTGTTTGATACATAACACTTTCCATCAAGTAGGCCGTCAGCTTGTTTGTCATTGTATGTATAAAATATATTTAAACATATCGCAACTTAGAAAATTGACAAACCTTTGTTATAAATCAATATAATAAATATAACATCAAAACCTAGATACTTACAGTCCGAAGAGAATTAACTCCGATATCCAAATACAGCAAATCAGTAAGACCTACAAAAGTTCCCGGTGACAGTTTAATCAGATTGTTCCTGCTGAGATCCAGCATTTGTAGCGAGACCAGAGTACTGAGATGACTGTTATCGATATTCTGAAATCAACCAAAATAAAATGTATTTATATATTTATTAATAAAACCTTTATAAATTTATTCATTGTTTTAAATGACTGTTCAGCATCATCATAAATTTATATACAGCGCAGCAAACTGAAAACTATAATTGTATCGCCTGTTACTATTATTACAGAACTCATCACTTGTCCACATTTCAGTACGTATAGTCGAATTCAATATGAAAAGAGAAAGGATGTACATTTTTAATAAAGTCATATTTATCATCACATATGTACTTTTTTGTATCTGTGATATTCGAACTTACAAGCTTAATCTTATGTAACAGCGAAAAACCTAAATTACTATATATTGAACCATTGACGTCATCAAAACAATATAATAATTATGTTATGAATAATATAATAAAGTGAAAATCATTATAAAAGTTAAATTTATTACATTCAAGAATATTATTATTCGTTCAGTCGAAATCAAATTCACTAACAAAATTATTTAACGAACCATGAATTATTGAAAATTATTGGTATAAATTGCCGTCCCGATAACTCTTTACTGACAACGGATCAACTCAAATCACTTCCGCTTGTCGTTCCTAATTGAATCGCATCAAATTAAAAAGTTTGCAGAAACTTACAGTGATCATATTGCTGGAAAGGTTCAGAGATCCGAGGGCGACGAATGATTTCAGAGCAACGGTCGGGAAATCCGTTATAAAGTTTTCCGAGAGGTCCAACTTTTCGAGGTTCTCGATGCCTTGGAAGACATCGCTGTTGAACTTGGAGAGTCTGTTCCGACCGAGGTCGAGATTTTGTAGTGCACTCAAGCCTATAAACGCTCCTCCCTCGATGGTGGATATCATGTTTCCATGCAGATCTATCTCCTCTAAAGTCTTCTGTGATACGAATGACGCTTGTCGAATTGAAACTGCGAAATTTAGAGAAATAGAATTAGTGAAGTTAAGTAAAATTTCTATTTATTCCTTACTTTATTCCTGGATAAAGCGAATCTAGAATTCGAATTTTATTTATCTCACGCGTGTGACTATTGGAACAAACACGATAGCATATTTTGTTGAATACTACAAGAATGTTAAAAATCAACATTGAATGTAACATAATTTTTAAAAAATCAAATAAATACAGAACCTCTTTTTTTGAACTTATAATCAAAGTTTAAAAATTGTATTTATCCATACCTAAATATCTCAAAATAGCGTCAAACGAAGCACTCGATATGTTTTTTTTTGTTATACAACTTAGAATGGTCTCAGATGTTATTCCTCTGTACCCTGTAAATTCACGCCATTCAGCCATGCAAACACAACTGCTTCACGTTATATATATATATATATATATATATATATATATATATATATATATATATATATATATGTCTGTATCTATTCAGTCCCTATATCTGTCTTTGTATTTACATAAAACTGATGTATGGAAAAAAATCTATACCGTACTTATTTTAATTTTTCATACTATACCAATTAACATATTTAAAATGTTCTATTCTAATATTCTATATACATACATTATATGAAATTTTTGTCCTAGAATTCGTAATTGTGTCTTGATATAGACAGAAATTAAGAGCAACAAATTTTTTTTATTATAAATCGTCACTATGTAGGTATCTACGAGTACATAAAATATATTACTTAGGCTTAAAACAAGATTATGATTATGCCACAGCCCTCCTGTGTAAAGATCAGCTAACTATTTTGACGAAGGTGAGATGTAACTGAACATGATAATCAAGAATATTTTAGAAGTTAAACTGTAGGTTTTACATCACTAACTTGGAACTTGATACACTAGTTTTAGAATAGTAATTACCGTGCGTCACACTAAATCTACGATTATTTATATCGTCTTCGCAGTTACTCCTACGAATCTCTCTATTTTCGGACCTGATAAGAACCCTTATTTATAAGCATGATCCATCATGTATCCATATCGTCGTCATGAGGCACTGCATTGTAACGTGCTCAAGAATAAAGTATCTTATCTAGTGCGATATAGTTAATTGTACTACTCTTTTATTTATCACGTTTCGTTGTTATTGCTGATAATTTATTTGTTAATCTTATCCTTTGAGACCGAAATCCAGCAACACCAGAAAGAAGTAAGTAAAATATAACCTAATGAAGCAACTCACACAGAAATCACCATTCAAATTATTTTAATTACAAAATGTACCAACTATATACTTGTATGATACAATATATATATATATTTATTGCATTATATAGTAATAGGCCCAGACATTTTCTGAGACTGACATATACTACACACATATATAAAATTTATTATACATTATATAAAACAATTATTCTGAGCACTGAGGATAATACACGTAATTATAATAAAACCGAAAAACTATTCTTATATATTACGCTCAGGTTATGGAATGAGCTCGCTGTCAAGGTTGCATGGTTGCATGGGGTTCTTCAAAAAAGGGATAAAGAGGTTTCTTCAGGGTTGACACCGTGCGCGTAATGACCCTGGTATAGCAAGCGTTCATAGGCAACGGTACTAGTACTCGTATAGTATTATATTATCTGTGGCTACGGTAACCGCTTACTATCAGATAGGCCATATGCTTGTTTGCCATCTCAGTGGCTCAAAAAAAAATTCAATTATCTCTCTCCACCTCCCTCTCATTCCATCTCTCTCTGAATGTGTTTGTGTAAATAAAACTTTATAGATACAATGTACTTAATAAAATTGTAACAATAAACTTACCTATTCTATTTTCTCGTAAAGAAATAACTCGTAACGCCTGTGGGCCGTTTAGAGACGAGGAAGGCACGGAGTTTATATTGTTGCGGTTCAAACGTAATATCTGAAACACAAAAATGGGATTTCATATAAATTTTTTTTTACGCAACTTAACGGCAAACAAGCTGACAGCCCACCTGATGGAAAGTGGTAAACGTCACCTATAGACATGAATAGTAACTACCATGAATATAACAGAGTATACTCTATCGCTCACGATACCCTTCATGCTTTGCCATTCCTGACGACTAAGGTGTTATGCCTCTGTACCCTAAAATTTAATTACCCTTCAAAACGAAAGACAACCATTCTAACACAACTGCTTTACGTCACGAACAAAGTATTTCTCTGGTAAATAAATATGAATAAATAAATCAAAAGCACAATGAGTTACTCCTTATCATCCCCAAGACATCGTAACAAATGGCAACGGGAACAAAACACGTTATATACATCAGTACAAGAATGGAATAAGTCGAAATCAAACCTTGTACCAAGGCGCCTTGTCGACATAAATTTAGTAGGATCACAAATAATATGATAGGTACTACACTATGTAGAATGTACACTCTTCTTATGATAATAGTGATTAAAAGATGTCATTATGCTTTAATTAATCTTGTTTATAAGTATGTCTGTAATATATTTTGATAATCTTGGTAGAATAGCGGAATGATGAACCGTTTTTACTAATGGTCGTGAATTCGATCCCCGTACAACACAATCGTTTGTGGAAGTGGAACAAAATATAACAATTTTAAAAAATATTATAAAGTCGAAAGAAGTCACAAAACAAACAGTGAATTCCAAATATTTGTATTCATGAGTTGTTTGTATTGGTCTGACTGTTTTCTCTGTATAATAGCTATTTACAAAAAAAAAGTCAGTATTTCTAACATGTCTAGTATCCTTAGTACAATACCTGCTTAGTTTGGAAATATATGGCGGTATGTAATATATCCAATAGTTTTTATTTAATTTATTTATTATTAACTTTACTGAATAAAATACTAAAAAATATATACCTTAAGAAGATCACAACCAATGAGCAGTCCTTCTTCGATTCCTCTTATACTGTTCCCACTTAGGTCTAATTCTTCTAATGCTGGCAAGTTATGGAGCTCGGCTGTAGAGAATATGGGATTAAGATTGTCCCCTAGTAGGTTGTCAGCGAGGACCAACTTGGTGAGATTGCCACGGATCCCAGCAAGTAATCGGTCGGGAAGACGACGAAGACTATTGTGGGAAAAGTCCAACTCTTTTAGAGGCAACCCATAGGACGAGAATATCTGGAAAAAAAAATATTGTTATTTAATATTAAATTCAATTTTAGCCCTATGTTCTTAATTAATGGACAATAAAGTTATAAAATAAATAAGGTGCTTAATTAACAATTTAATACTGTATACATAAAACATACCTTTTTAACATATAAAGTTATTAAATAAATAAATATAACTACGACTATAATACAAGATAGAGTAGTCAGAGCCTTATTATTCCGCCCATCCAAAATGTTCGCTGACTATGTATTGTATGAATCAAATTATTTATTCTAAGTTACTATAATAGTTAGCAAACAGAAATAGGTATACCATACAACAGAAGACAATATAAAATCTTATCTATAAAATTGTAAAGAATATTTACAATGGATATTAATCATTACCGAAAAGGAAAAATTATAATGTATTATATACCTATCAGGAAAATAAGAAAAGATATCCCGAGGCACAACCGAGGCTTTGCCCGTTTATATAAATAATAAATAAATAACCCACCTGTATACCAAGTTTTATTCAAATCCGTCCAGTAGTTTTTACGCGAAAAAGTAACAAATATCCCTTCATCCATCCATTATTGTAAACTTTCGAATTTGTTGTATTCATAAGAATTGTAAATCAGTAATTTAAATGTTCATTAGGCCAATAACTTGTGTAAAAATAATGTATTTAAAATAATTAGTTTATTGCGTTATTACTATTAGTATATTATTATATTTCTGTGGTTATACCTACTTGTGATATTCTACGCCGTTACGTTTGAGTACAAAAGCCTTTGAAATCCCGCAAAACGCATTACTTAATTAGGTTCATTGCGTGCCTTGCCGCTCTTACTTTGACGCAGTTGTTCAAAAGAAATATCGTGGATCATATACATACAAGTACATGCATCACTCAATTTATACTAAAATACAGATAATATGGATTACATTTAGATAGACCAACTGATTTATTAGAGCCATGTTCTATTTCTGTTAAATAAACCAATAAATTGGTTTACAATTCTAATAAAGCAATTTTTTTCACAAATAACTTTACATACATATCGTAAAAATAATATATATTCTTATATAAAGAAGTATTTAGTATTATAATATTAAGATGTAATAATCAAATAAATATAGAGCATAAAACTAGAGCTATATTAATTACATACAGGTCCCTATTAGAGTCGAGTCTCTAAACCTGTCTTTAAAATTAAAATTTCAATTTGATATCACAGCGAAATCTTTAATGTAAACACCATTATGAACTAATTTTCTAATATATTTAAGTCAAGATTATTAGAAATTTAGTTTATAAAGGCCCGTAAAACAGTAATTTTACAAAATTATTGACTTATACGAGTATATAATATTTGATTAAGAAATTTAGAGAAATGTCGCCTCAAAATGGGCACCACTGATTATTGTTTACTTGCATTTAAACTATAACATATAAATATTTTGGATCTATTTTGTTCTCTAATCGAATATATTAATGATGTCACATATTTCTATAACTTTTTGTGTTATATTAGATATTTATTTAATACTATTTTTATTGCAATAACTAATTGAGGTAGTATATTAATTATTTTTATTTAATGCAGAACTTACAGATGTACCGCCTACCATTTCTGTTGTTAATATAGTTGATATTGAATGACAGAGAACAAGTTTGTGCAGCATTATGAACGACACGGTATACTCTATTATGTCCATGGTACTGTTCATATCTACATGCAACGGTTACCACTTTCCATCAGATGGATCGTCAGCTTATTTATCATTCTAAGTTTCACAAAAAAATCCAAACTTTTTTTACTAACAATACACGTATGAACATTTATAAAGTACCTACATATACAAATAAACTGAATCTATCTCTCACAGTATACACAATAGTATAATACGACCCAACATTCACTCATCAAACTGCCGTTGTCGATCTTGATCTCAGTTTGAACAGTGTGAATCCCCAAACTGAACTTGGTGTCCCGAGAGTTTGCAAACTTATGATCTCGAATACATTATCTGGGTTCTTCAGTGAAGTGTCCGCCGCAACTGAGAGCTCTCTGCTAAAGATGAATTGGCATCTAATGTATGATATTCAAGTGCTTTAGTATTATCAATTCTAACACAAACTATAGCTACATCCCGTGCATTTGTTCGCATGAATTTGGATAAAATTTTGATCCTATTAATGCAGGCTGTTGTATGTATAATATTTTCTTTTCTATGCATTTTAAAATTTCTATTCATAATATCACACCAGTTGTTAACTGTCCACTGCTGAACATAGGCATCTCCTATAAGGGGATTTTTTCAGTAGTTGCCACGCGTATCAGGTGGGTTGACAACGACAGGCTTTGTTGGTGTTTTAAGAGGAACGCCGCTGACCATTCCTTCGACCATTAAATTTCCTTAGTTCCTTAGTTCTCATTTAGGCTCATTCTATGCCGGAACCACAAAGCAACAATTTTACAATTGTATTATTTATAGTGATAATATAATGCAATTGTAAAAATCCTTACAGGCTAAATAAAAACGTAACTTAACAATTTTCATGTTTTTGATACTACTTTGCTATACTAGATGTATTCCACTGTTTTGTGTGAATAGTTTCCAAGTGAATAGAACCTGATATCCCAAAGAAATTCAAGAAAAATCTTTCTTAAATTTCATATGAATTAATATTTGTATACGTATGTTACACGGAATCTTCCCCAATTCATAATGTTTTGATACTACTTTTTATCCCGATCGAGCAATATGTTACGGTCATGCGGCCGAAGTTGCACATAAAGACTAGTCCTATATAATTTTGTACCTGGTTTAAATATTTAATTATCGTTACAGAGATATAATGAAAGTTGTGTTAAGGTATAAAAATAATAAATTTTATCAAAAATATTATTATTATTATTATATTTTGTTCACAATGGTATTCCAAAATATTAATTATATAGACTGTCTTTATCATATAATATTGCATAAACTCGAAGCATTCAGTTTACTTATTTTCCTGCTGCTTAGATAAAATATGTACCTATGTTAAAGTGGCCGTTACCCTTTCAGTTTCTACCTAATAGTTAGCTGGTAGAAAAAAAAATAAAACATTATGTACAAATTTCATTATACAATAAAGTACAAATAAAGAATATTTTTTTTTCCAGAGCTCTCACCGTGAATGTACCTACATAAGCAAATATTCTCTGCAGCAACACAAGTTACAATCAATAGAATGCAATCAGAAACAAACAGATGCAGCACAGCAAGCAAATTTTAAAACGTTCTTTTTCTCTTGTCTATTCGTGTTTCACATATTGAAAATCAACTGGTAATTCATCCGATACACCGCATCGAATCATTACAAATGTTTTCCACAACCGATATGGTTGTTGGACAAAACAAATGAGCCGATAAATGCTGATTCCCGTCGAACACTCCAACACATTGGATCGCAAAATTGAATGGCTTTGTATCCAAATTTATTTTCCTAGTATACTACTAAATTACAAATGTGAATGCATCTATACGATCATCTTATCATAGCGGACGATATATTATCTGTTGACATATAAATTTTTATATCACAATGATGATTAACATTTGTAAATATTCTAATTGGGGTTCAAAAAATCTATATGAAGGTTTCTTCAGTCGGTAACGCGCACGTGACACCCTTAGTGTTGCAGGCGTCCATAAACTACACTGACTGTTTACCATCAGACTGGCTATATGCTTGTTTGCCTTTGTGGTATAAAAAAGTAGTCATATTTAGCGATGCTAGATTTTATAAATATTTACTTATAAAATCTAGCAACTTATTTTACAATATCTCATTATAAATTTTGACATTTGTCAAATCTAGGTTATTATTGAGAGGCTATATGTATTTACTTTATATCTACAAAAATATCGAGTAATATATATATATATATATATATATATATATATATATATATATATATATATATATATATATATATATATATATATATATATATATATATATATATATATATATATATATATATATATTCCGCTGTCTGTCCCTACGTATGCTTAGATCTTTAAAACTACGCAACGGATTTTGATGCGGTTTCATTTTAATAGATACAGTGATTGAAGAGGAAGGTTTATATGTACAATACATGTATAATATAATAGAGAAACACTGATAATTTTAGAGGTTTCTAATGTGATGTCGATTTTTTGGGCTTACATTGAAAACGCTGGCTGAACCTTACGATATAGATCAAAATAATGTACTACAGTATTTTATACCTTTAGAAGGTCTACAAAAAGTTCGCGATGGTATATGTCTATCTCTTACGGATAATTATGGGTTTAGCATTGCACCCGTGCGAAGCCGGGACGCGTCGCTAGTCGTTCATAATATTAATATTATAAATATAAAAATGAGTTTGCTTTTTTTAAATTTCTTTGCTGTCTTTTGCGCTTTAACGGGTAAATGAGCTACTTCGTGGGTAAATTAATTGTTATAAAATTTAACATATAAATACATACGTACATATTTAATATCTGTTTTTTTTAACTGAAATATTAATAGCTTGCCCTATCGGTATACGCTGGCGGGGCACCAGTGAGAGGTGATAAGTCCATTCGTCCATTCCATCGTGACGAAGTCCACTAGAATTAACCACGACAGTTTCCACGGGGAACCGTGTGGAGGTCGACCTGATAGGGTGTACTGCTAGTAATGGTGAAATTAGACCCTATTACTGACATCCTTTCCCTTTCCCCCCAGATGAAGAAGTTGTCCTTCTTCATGTATACTTTTTATGCTGATCACGAACGAACTCGTGGGCGTAACTAGTTAATTTATAATTTACTAGTTTCGACCCGAAAATTCGCGTGACCGGAATGTATTGATTAATCGGGATAAAAAATAAGCTACGTCCTTCTCTATCCCCAATACTACATATATATCTTTCATGACTACCGATTAAACGCTTTAATATTAGTATAAATAAGGGTTTCTGAACTTTGCCGCTACAATGCACGGCAGCTACGTCTATCTATCCTTTTCAACACATTTGTCACTGACCTATATTCATACAGGTCAATGATATCTATACAAAAGTCTCTTTAAGGTAAACTAATCCTTTACAGTATTGATATAAGATTCAATTTAGTTAGATTATTACTAGTCACGATTGCTAAACATAACATTATTTGGATACAAAGCTATCAAGAGCACTGAAGAAGCTATTGTATTGTTAATATTTACAACAATACCGCTTGGAGTTGAAAATGGAAGTGATAATATTAAAAATTATCTCACTCGAATGATATCCCGAAAATAAGTTATTAGTTTTAAGGGAATTGCAATGATGCCATTTAAAGACGATAATGAAAATAATTATGTCAAATATACAATATATAATATACAATCATAATATCAGCCATTAACTGTTCACTATTGTACATAGGCATTTCCCATAAGGGTTTTACCAGCAGCTGCCGTGCTTGGCAGGCGGAGTAGGCTAGGTTTTTTATGATGGGTGAAAATGGAATGGTAACCCCGCCGGCGCTAACAGAATACGCTGGCGGAGCACCAGTGAAGGATGATCGATGAGAATGAAAACAGGCCAGTTAGCCCATCATGACAAATTCACAAGGAAATAACCATGATAGTATCCAGGGAGAACCGCGAGGAGGTCGACCTGACTGGGTATATTGCTAACAATGGGATTCTTAGTCTCCATCACTAACTCCCTCCCTTTCTCCCCGATTAGGCTAAGTTAAGACCGGTCAGGCTCTTAGTGTTGTTTTAAAAGGGACACTACTGCCCATCCCTGGAGCTTAAAGTTACAATAGTGTACAGTTTTAAGGTTTTTTTAACAAGGTGATTGTCAATTATATTCTAGTAGATTTTTTACAGTAGATACGGTTTGCTACTATATGACTAATATATATTAATTTTATATATTAAAATTAATATATATGGTAGTATTAATTTTGTTGCGATTTAAGTAGAAATTTACTGCAGTTACTGTAACATTATTAAATATTATGTAAATATCTAGCAGCAACTATGTTTTGTGAATTGTTCTTATATGTAACTAAAGTTATAAGCTGTCTTATAATAACGTTTTAAATTTTTAATAACATAGAAAAATTTAGTTAAAAAATACTGTAGATAGTTTTAAACTTTGTACTTTATTATATTCTCGAGTTAAAGTAAAAAAATAAAGGGAATTTATGTTGTCTGTTTTTAACTACAGATTATTCATTCAGTAACCTACATCCAACTTTGCTAATTGACAGAATATCCATATCTGAAAGTAATACCGAAAATACTACCTATTAAAACTCTATTTATAACATACTTTAATCTCTTTTTCTATTACTGTTATAAACGTAAAATGTAAAGATATTTGTATATTTATTTCTCAGTAACAATTCGATGAATTTAAATAACACTTTACTTCTTTTTTTTTTTTTGTTTTCAGCTCAGCCAATCTGTATAGGAGGCGATCATTTTACCACAACATCATATGGCAAGAGAGGTCACCCTATTACCACAGATAATATAATACTATGCTATTACTAACAATTGTGACCTTGCAATTGCAAACATCAGGTCGACCTCCAACATGGTCTCCATAAAACCATTAATTGTATTTAATGTATGCTACGCAATATCTTTGCCAATTCTTAACTGATTTAGAACAAAATCTTGTTATATCTTCGTATAACCGATATTAGGTATAACGCGACTTTGTTTTTTATTTAGTTAATTGTTTAGCAATTGGTTTCAATTAACTGATGAGTACTGATGTATTTTGTTTTCTATGACAAATAGATTGGCAATTTGTGTTAATACAAAATTTTGTAGTGTTTTTTGTTCCTAATTGTGCGGTGTTTGATTACTTATAACAAACGATACGCCAATTTGAAATTAAAGTATCTGTTATATCTATTAATAATACATTTAATAACCATCCAATAAGCTGTGTCAGCACTACAGACCTATGTAACTCTGACAATCTGTAATAAGTGAAAACTGAGGCTGAATGTCACGTTAATTAAATTAAATAATGTATAGCGCTGAAACCGACGCTTTTATGTAATAAAATGTTATTACAATTGCAGTATGACTACGGAGTCTTATGTAATACTAGCTTTAACTCGTAGCTTTATTCACATGAATACTTTTTGTACTAATTCTTGCCAGTGGATAGTTACCGAATTGTTGAAAAAAGGGAGATAATGTTCAGATGTATGCATGCAGATAAATGCATCTGGAATTTTGACAGAATAGACAGTGATTGATTTTTATAAATGAAGTGTGTATATATTCATTATAATTATAAAAATACTGTAAGCTGTGTAACTGCAGTATTATTAATTAATTTAAAAAATTAGAATAACGACAATAAAGTGACAATCGCTTATACCTTTTTTTTTATTTTATCGCGTGTTTTCCGAATTTACGATATGACATCTGTGCATTTTCATTCATATCTTTTTAACAATTTAAGCTTAACTAAATAACAAATGATGAATCATATTTACAAACTTTCACATTTATTTTATTTTTTTACTTGCGGATACTAGGATTACAAATATTAATCTTTTTTATTAAATTAAACTTAACTATAAATTTTTTGGATAGTAATTTTTTATGTAAAATCTAAATAAATTTAAATGACTAATATAACTATAAATATTTTTGGATAATAATTTTGTATGAATCTAGTTTAAATGACTAATACAACCCAATTTGAATGATCAACAAGCTGATGTGAATGGCCACCAACCAACCATCAAGTAAAAATAATATGAGTAATATTATATTATATAGTACGTAATAAGGTATAATGGATATCAAATATCGCTCATCATTATTATTAACTAGTATATCAAGTAATTGACACTATAATATTGGTTGATATACTGGTCAAATGCTATGTACCTATTCGTAATTTATAACGATAGTGGTACAATGACTGCGATTTTAATACAAATTTATCAAGTGATTATTCTATCCATCGAGCCATGTTTATCAGATCATGAAAATAGCGTGTTCATCTAGTGAAATCAGCTAGTATATTGTCTTAGCCATCTCTAATTTTCCAAGTAAATTAGTTTGTAATTTAATCATTTAGATGATATTCACAGACTGATTTACTACAAATATATCTACTTGTATATCTAAAACTACATTAGAATTTCTAAGTCAATTATTAATATCAGAACGTATAAATACGACTATCTTAGCATTAAAAAAGTACCACTTAAAATAAAACAGATGGGATGTATGTTACATACGTTTGCCATACGAGTATACATTACACAAAAAAGTAAGCACAAAAATACAAAAAGGCAATTTGACACTGACATTAGCAATAACAGACAACATCTATGTGTCATATTATAAGATAGACAACGGCTGTATAGGCTCAGTCCTTTTGCCTTCCCTATTGATGGGGAAAACCATAAACGTAATATAACATACTACGTATTTTTTAATTTAAAGGCACATGTAAAAAAAGACTTTAGTCAACTATCTAATTTATTTTTATATTCTTTTATTTTTAGAGTATAAATAATAATTATTAGATAGTTATAATTTATAGAATAATTATAAAATTCATTATAATAAGTGTTATATATCTGAATTTGTTCCTTAGCTTTCACGCAATATTTGCCGATCAACCCGCTTATTAGACAAAAAGATTATAGTAATTTTTCCTCAAGAAATGATTATATCCTGTAGAATATTTATATGTACTACATTGATAATATCCTTAATGAAGTGTTCTCATAGAAGCTTCTTATAGTTTTATTACTTCAATAGGTAAGTGCTTCATATATTTATTTAGAAACTTTCTCACGGAATCAGATCTATGCAAATTCTAATTCTGTGAAAGAAATTATATGCTAAATATTAATTGAAATGTATAAAAATTTATAACTTATAATATGATATATTAAGATTTCTTTACTAAAAGCAAAAACTATCTACAAAGCAACTTTTTATCTTTCTGGAATAAATCATTCCATATCTAGAATTATGAATTCTAAAATTGAATACTTGTAAACTCTATTGTGTCTAGAAATTGTAATTCTTATTCTAATTCTAAAATACAAAAACATCCTAATTTCTTTTGTATTGCCAGAAAGCACATTTTTATATTTCATTTACGTAATTATGGTTCAGTTAAATTTATATATTTTTGAGGCGTACAGCTTGAAATATTTATCGTACTTAGATATCATTTATTTAATCTTTGCTACTTTATTATCCTTAACAATATATAAAATGATTTATCTAAAATAAACCTATTAAGCATATGAGATTTTATGGATAAGAAGGTGATAATTATCATTATTCCTCTACTGGTCACGCTCATACAAGGATATTACATCTTTTACAAATTTTATTTTTTAAACATTTTTAATGCATAAACCTTCAAACTTATACATTTCTAATATTAATAGGAAGTAGGATGAAATGCTTATTCAACGGATATAAGCCGGCAACGCATTGGCGACTCCCCCGGTGTCGTTAATATTCATGGACTGCAGTTATCATTTATCATCAAGCGAACTGCATTGGCCGTGTGATTCCAACATAGAATAGGCCACCTGTCTTCCTCTCCCGTGGATGTAATAAGAGGCGACAAAGGGAAGTCGAAAGAGATGGGTAGCATCGTCTCTCTTAAAACACCTCTAAAGCCTAACTGCGGTTTTTTTTAATGGGTGATAATAGAATGGTAACTGGATAATGGACCCCATCCGCGCTATCGGTATACACCGGCGGGGCACCAGTGAAGGATGATAGGTGAAGATGAAGCAGGCCGATTAGCCTATCGTGACGAATTTAACAGGATTGTTCACGATGGTTTCCAGGGGGAACCACGTGGAGGTAGACCTAATAGGGTATATTGCTAGCAATGGGGCTGTCAAACTCCATTGCTAACAATCCCTTTACCCCTCTAACTGCTGTTGCCAATCGTACTGCTAAGCGTGGCTACTACTAGCAAAACTCCGCAAGGGAGAAGCTTATGTTCACCAGTGATCAGTTAAAGATTTATATGTTTATAATATGATGAACCGTATGATCGTTTGATGCCCTCTCACTAGGCATGGGTAATATAGATACCGATTCGATATCTATATCTTGGGTTTCTCTGAACATTGATCGCAGAAAAGGGGTCATCACCCATTTCAATATCGCCCATATCGGTCGTATCTCTATTTTCAAATATGTCAAAAATCTGTTAGACAATATTATGTTTTGGATAACAGACTTTTAACATATTCGGTATTGAACCAATATATAGACATTATAACTAAAATATATAGGTATTACTATATATTATTGACCCCTCTCTCATATAAAAAAAAATAAAAAATATTTTATTTTTATACTTAACACATTTTGATATTTGTCGATTAGATTTTGATGTTGTAGACCAATCAAACTAATTTAGAAGTAAATTGTTTTAGAAATCAGGCAAACCTCAAAACCCAAAGATTAATTTACTAAAGACCGCTTTAAGCTAGAACGAATCTTAAAGACATTTGTGAAACAAACTCAAGACATTCGTGAAAGTAATTGCTATAGCACTTCGTTACAATGGATGTAAATATTGGAGCTCAAAGTTGTGGATTTAAATAAATTGTAGGTGGTTTTTGTTCAACCACACTATATCCGAAGTCATAGACATGAACAGAAATAGAAGACGTAATTTACCTGACGCGATGTTTTTTTTAATAGGTGAAAATGGAATGGTAACCCCACATGTGCTATCGTTATGCAACGGCGGGGCACCAGTAAAGGGTGACAGATAAGAATAATGGCAAGGGCCAATTGAACAAGAATTAACCACTATAGTTTCCAAGGGGAACCGCATGGAGATCGACCTGATAAATTGTATTGCAATGGACATGTTAAACGTCATTACTAACAATAGCTTTCCCCCGTTATCGCGATGTTAGAACAGCTATACAGCATTAGCCGTAATAGGTGTAAGTACCCAAACACAATGACAGTACTCTTAAAATTGAATAACTTGTGCCAAGGAGTACAAAATAGATTTTTAACATTTTTGTACTAAATCAATCAGAAGACCGCGCAGTTTGCATAAATTTCTGTTTTTTTTTTTTTTTTAATATTAACTATGATTCTTGAAGAAAGTTATTCAATTTTATGAATATTACCACTGGATTCTAGGTGGAATACTTAATTAAACCAATAATCATATATGTATATCAATAGCCACACTATCCTACACTAAATTCTTTCGAGAATTCCATCAGTAACAATATCAGTAACGCTTTTTTCTTCATCCTATAAACTTTCATTGATATTTTAAAAAAATTATCACGTAAAAAGTAAATGTAATTGCGACATCTCTGTCATCCATATCTCTGTCCAAAATTCTGCTGTGGTTTGTGGTTTGGTAACCGCCGCTTTTACTTAACAACTATCATTGATTAATGAACTTGTCCTAATTTAACACTTGAACAAACTTGTACCGACATATAAACCACAATCCTTTACATTTATAGCAGGAATTATACAATTTTTCGTGAAATAATAGATATTATAATACACTATTATAATTTACTAGTTATTGTCCGCGGCTTTGCACGCGTTATGTCCCTTTAGATATTTACAAGTACTCGTACATATAATGCAATTTTTAAAGATTTTTAATACTTTTAAACGCATAAATGGATAAATAAACTTGAATGATATTTGATATGCAAACGGACCGTATTCTGGATTTACGCATAGGAGACTTTTAGTCTTAATATACTTAGACATAGTTAAGTAATACAGCTAATGGTACCATATACCCTAGATAAAGTGGTCAGATATTTTATACACTGCTCACAACAAATCAATATAGAACTGATGTCCTTCTTACAAAAGATGTACCTTCAAAGGTCGACCTGCACGCGGTCTCCTACAAAACCCAATGCAGTTCATCATTAATGAATAAGCTAGCTAATCTGACTTTATTCTCAGCTATTATCCTTCAAAGGAATCCCGCCAATTATCCAAAAAAAACGCAAGTAGGGTACCAATTTATTTTCATTCATAAAAACTGTTACAGATCTACAAAACAGTGAATGTAAGAAACCCATTATCTATATATCCGTAAATAATGGTTTGAAGATCACTGAAACCATAATTGTAGCTTCTACCGATTTTTTATGGTAAAATGAACCTAAATCCCTTATACGATCGTCACGAAAGGTAGATAATGTTTTTGACAGTACTTTACAGTTGATATTTAAACATTTTTGTATAACTTCGTAATTTTTAATTTCACGTTGCTGTTTTCCATTTAATTTTTTGTTCTTTTGTTTTAAACTTTTATGTTTTGGAATTATTACTTACTACATGACTATCTGTGCCCCGAGGCTTCACCCGCATAAATTACTTATTTATTTACCCTTATTATAATTACACATTTATAATATTAATAATAGGATAAATTATATGTCAAAAAATATTTAAGTACAAATATTATTTGCAATAATTAATAACATATTTCTTATTAAATTGTTTTTCTTTTATAATTATGTTAATATTACAGAAAGTTGGTGAACGTACTTAATATTTTTATATTTATCAAATAATCAAACTTAAAAAATTATACCTAAGATACAATGAAATTTGGATGATTTTGGATGATGATGAGATGATTGTTTTGATTTAACTTCCCCATACAGAATTCGGCGTAATTATTTCCACTCCAAATATAAAGAGCTAAAAAGGTCAGTTTTCCAAAAATACTTGTAAACAAACTGTGCTATGACTATCTATGAATATATTATATAGTTATATAAATACCATAATTATATTTCGACTTATTATGTACCATTTTAACAAAGTGTAATATGTAAAAATATACGCTTCAACTAAATTCTCAAGTAGATAAAACTTTATTCAAGAAATCAATTCAGGGTACGATACCTGAAGAAGGTAAAAGCCCTTATAAATAAAAAAAAACTAACCTGTGTCGGCAACGTCTGCTGACCAGCCCACCTCTGACTGAACGACATGATCGGAGCACCATATGGCAATGGCGGAAAATCACCACCAAAGACCACATGATCGCAGTTCATCAGAATCGTCAAATGTAGAGCCCTGTCTACTTGTACGCGGCAGCGGCAAGGGTACCGAAGGTCGTCATTCAATTCGGAACACGGCACCCATTGTTGTTGTCCCAACACTGGGACCATGAAGAGAAGGAGAAGCAGCCACATTGTGCCTGGAGAAAAAAAACAGTTTATGTTACTAAATGCAGAGAAAACTATAACAATTGCAATTACAAAATAAATAAAGGGTTGGCAATGCACACGAGATATCCCTAGTATTGCAGGCATCCATAGGCTACAGTGACCGTTTATTATCAGACGGCCTGCATACTTCTTTGCCACCTTCGTGACCGGATAGAGACAAAGCTGTTTTATCATTCCAACCCTTTATATAACTTTTCCTCGTAATACTTAGAAAATAACGAGCAAATTAATAATCCATCTAAGCAAAATTGTTATAGTCGCCTATAGATATGAACAGTATCATGGGCATCACAGAATATACAGTGCCAATACAATCATGCAAACACAATTACTTCACAGCAAAATACGAATGGGACAGAGGTACCCATACAGATGAGTTTTGCCAGAGACAGAGACATAGTGTCTCTGTCTCTGGTACACTATTATAGTATAATTATTATAGCAGTATTAAATTAATAAAACATTCGAAATACAAAAAGAGTCTACATTTTACAATCGACATCAAAGCAATAGTTTCAAAAATTTCATACAGAAAAAATTAAAATTTTATCATTTATTTTATTAACTCACTCTGAAAAAACTCCAACCAACACTATCTATCGTACACTATGAGCATGTACATATTACATTACATTAAAAATTAAAATAAATTACACAAAACATTTATTTTAACGTTATAATGCATAAAATAAAAAAGAATAACAAAATAGTGAACGAAATAGAAAAGACGAGATGAGACTATTACAATGAGTCTTGTCGCTTGTACAAGCGATTTCATCTAGACGACCCACAACTAAAAGAATTTTTAATGAAAAATGAAAGAGGCTTACAGTGCTCAAAGGCAGTCTAGAGCATGATGTAATAATATACCTTATTGTACTCGTATATATTACAGGCACAGGCTAAATGCACGCTAATTTTGTTTGAATCCTAGCAAAGTGATTAAAATATTAGTCGTAAATTTGTGTTTGTATCTTCAGAATAATCTCCGGTACTACTGATTCGATTTTTTTTTATACAACTTAGAATGGCAAACAAGCTGACGGTCCACCTGATGGAAAGTGATAACCGTCGCCTATAGACATGAACAGTACCATGGACATAACAGAGTATACTGTTTCGCTCGTGATATCCCCCATGCGTTGCCATTCCTGAGGACTCAGGTGTTATTCCTCTGTACCCAGTAAATTCACGCCATATCCCACCCTTGAAACCAAAACACAGCCATGCAAACACAACTGCTTCGCGGTTGAAAACCAAGCAATAAACCCAAGCAATCGACTTTTGTACAAAGTCTCTCGATTTCGAAAATCCTTTCACTGTTTTAAAGGTATATTATCCCTGAGTGCTATAGGCTACGTTTTAGTTTGGTAAATATATATTTTCATTAATTAATCACAATAAATGTAATTGAATTCGGTAAAACTCTATAATATAGCGTACTCTGCCTGAATGGTTTAAAATAAAGGAATAATCTACACAAAAATATTAATTTCTTTTAACTTTACATAAAAGGCTGTAACACCATATATCTAAGTTTAATATCACAGCCAAAAAATGCTATTCGTGTTAAAATTAAAAAAAAACTTTATAGATTCTCATAAAAACAAATAGCTAAATCAAAATGGAAATTTCATCAAGTTTACTTTTTACAGCATGCTAATTAATACAGATGGTCAGAAGATAATGCGAAATACAAACAATAACCCAGTAAAATTTCGTTATCGCTGGCGCTGGCCATGCGAAAATAGTAGGCGGGGTGCGGAGGTGAGGGGGGCGGGAAGACATATAAATATGCACACATCAAATTGCTGGATATGCTGTTCATTCTAAAATCTTAGAGAATATTAGTGTAATACTTTCACATACGCCAAAATATCAGCCTTTCTAAAATTTGTTGAACAGTTTAAAAGTTATACAAATAATGTACCCGTACGGAGCCGGGACGGGTCGCTAGTTTCTAACATAAAAACACCTGTAAAAACTTTACTCGCTCCTTCAGTTATCGGTTTCATTACACATGTACATTCACGTTGGCTCAGGGAATACCTAGGTCCCTATTTGAATATTGAATCAAGTTGCCTACACTAGTGCCCGGTATGTTATTCAAATGTTATTGTGCCTTGGGTCAGCAATATTTCCATAACAAACCTTAAGTGTCACATTAGAAGACAATAAAAACGGTCACGCCATGATTTCTAGTTTTGTTTTTTTTTGCGGCCACTTACATTACCATCACAGCCTTCGTTACCATAAACGAAACCCCAATTGTCGATACAAACATAAACGGGCTGAGAACAACAAGAAACACCTCGTAAACAAGCTCCTCGTAAGCAACAAATTTACGAGCGGACCTTTGTTTATTTCATTCCTGAATATCGCGTTAAAGTTCGACAGTTATCCTTATGTAAACTTTCGTGATTGACGGAATTTGCGGGGATTTTTATTTTGAGGAATACACCCATCTAAAATATTACGTCAGTTATTGGCAGAGGATTTTCCCCTTTGTTTCTTTCTGGGATTGGAAGCCAACGAGCGACCTTATCACGTAAATTGCAAAACTTGTAAAATTTCCCGATCCACTCCGTACTACGCTAACGAGTTATCGTTCGATGTTTTTCATCTAGTTAATGAAATGAGACACTGTGTTACGCTGTGACACTTTAGCCAGTAGTTGAAGCAGTACGCATAATGCATGTTTGTGCCGTCACGTTCTTTGTGTCTCATACTTGAAAATCGCTTCGAATGCGAATTCCAAATGGGTAAATTATTAACGAAGCCCGATTTATGTGGAAAGTTGTGCGGATCGCGTCCGAAACTAGCTTAGTTTGTTCGCAACTTCACCCGCCATCTCCCATCATCGGCTTCTCATCTTTCCAAGTACTCTTTTTGATATCTCCAAATATAAATTTTTACACCCTTTCCACGAACTTTGTGAACTTTGGAACGTTGAGGTCTCGGTAAATATTACCTGGTTTATTTATTCCCGAATTCCCGTACTTTCAGCTGTTTGTCGGAAAGGGATTTCTAAAATAACAACAATATACGGTTACTATGAGTATGAATTAAAAGGCTTCTTCGGTTGAGGGTGTCTTTTGAACAATCTGGATATTACGTTTCCGAGAACAAGTATTCATTTTCCTTGATTTAAATACTTTAATATTTTGTTACATCTGTTTTCGTTTTATGCTTAATAAAAATATTTTTAATGAGTAAATTATAATACGCATAAAGTAGAAATGTAAAAAAACTTCCAATTTGATTCAAGACCGATTTTTACTGTTTTCTTTTCGAGCATTTACATGATATGACTACTCTGAGCAAATTAATAAAAAATATTTCTTTTAGGATCTACGATTAAAATCACAGATTTTTTTCTAAAAATCTTAAAATGTAACATCAAAATGCGTTTATCCCTATTGTTGTCACTTTAATTTTGTAAAATTGATAAAGTTTTTTTTTTTTTTTTAATAAACTAAATTACATTAAATTACATCTACAATTTTATTTAGATTTCAAAGTATTTATACCATCCAATGAAAATGAGCTGGACAGGTTCCAAATTACCACCAGGACAACATAAGCCTAACATTTAAATACTAAAATATTACCAACGAGAGTATACATTTATTAGTAGTAATAATATTATTAAACAAAAATCAACTACAAAATTTAAAATCACAAGTAAAAAATGCTTCATCATCCTTAATCATCACAAAACTTAATTAATGTATGGGTATGAGTCTCTCGCCATTTAAGGTTATATTTCAAAATTGCTTTCTCCTTCACTTTTTATAATACTTAGAAAAGCAAACAAACTATGGGTCCAGCTGATAAACGGTAACCATCATACGCATAAACATTACAGAATACTACATACTTACATACTTTTGCATTGGTAGAGATGAAAGAAGTTGCTACACATTGTTGTTGTTATGTAAAAAATGCTTACCGAAACAAATTCCGAAAATTATTCAATAGCAACAAATGAATGTCCAAACTACAAACAGTAATCAACATGCACTGGCACTATTATGTCCGCATAATACATTATAACACAATAGCGTAATAATTCATTAACCTTTCTCGAACACAAAATAATGCTACGAAATAATCAATTAACAATTTCACTTTTCAACAAACAACGATATCGACCACGTCGCTTTTGTGACTATCAAATTTCGGATTTCATAAACATCAAATATAACAAAAACCGGATCCATTGCTTAATTGTAACAACTTTGTATATCGGCATTGTTAGTTACTATGTTCTCGCGCTGCGTTAATTTGTTGCAAAACTAATGATGTTCAAATATTAGTTCTGGTCGCATTCTCATCAAACTGTTTGATTATTCCCGTAATTACATATTAATTGCTTTAAGATTGTATTAGGCGAAGTTTTGCTTGCGCAAGTTAATATTTCGACATTGTATTGAACTAGTTCATGACTTGATATATAGTAAAAGGGCCAAGTTAGAAATATTTGCTCGTAACATTTGAATTTTACGTTTTATTATGTCTGATAATAAATCAATAAAAAAGATACATATGGTACACATAAAAATAATATTAAAATGTAATTAATTTGTAATTATATATTAATAACATTATTGTTCCATTTTATATTAAAAAAAAAAACCAAGTATTTTTGTAAATAGAAGGCAAATTTATGCTTATACAGCTCACTCGCAAATCTTAGAGGAATATGCTCTTTTCTTGAATGTTTCAATATCGTATCAGTTTAATAATACTGCGGCTCGGAATTGATTTCATACTCGTACTATGATTGCGCGTGGTAGAAAATGCTTACGGAAACATACGGTGGAGAACCGCCACTAATCTATCTGGATGAAACTTTAGCTTGTGGCGGGTTGAACGGTGATGAAATTCAGCAGCTGGTATTAATCCGAACAATTCCTCTGAACACTCCCCATGATATATGCGATAAAAGACGCAAAGAGACGGAACG